TTCATATATATTAAAATATAATGCGTGTATAAATATTTATATATATATATATATATATATATATATTGATTATTATATAATTAGCAAAATACATAAAATAATATATGTATTCAAATTAAATTTTTAAATAAAATATTTAATACTTTTAATACAATATTAAAATGTAATGTATGTGTGTATATATGTAGTATTTTATTTATATTATTTTCATTTATTATTTAATATATAATATTTACAAATATAAATATATTTGTATATATGTAGTATTTTATTGATATTATTTTCATATATATATATATATATATATATATATTAATTACATATTATATATCAATTATGTATTTTAAAAAATACATGTATACACATACATATAAAAACTATATTTTATAATAAATTTTAAATAATTTTCATATATTCAAATACAATATATTTTCATATTATTAAATAAATATTATAAAATATGTAATATTACAGTTTTATATCTAAAATATTAAATATAATATGTGTGAGTGTGTGTGTATACATTTTTTATTTAATATTTTTTGCTTCATAAATGAATATCCCATTCAATACCTGATCTGATCTGTTTGTCTTCTGCAGCATCTTCTCAGCCACATCGAGAAGGGCATGGGCAAGAACCTGGCCTTCCGCTGTTCTGATGCCGTAAATGCCTCGGTTCAGTCGTCTCAGCAGGACATGATGGGTATGTGAGAACACCGTGACCTGCGTTTGATATTTAAACACCAGTGGGTGACACTCCTATTAATAGACAATGTCTGATAATGGGTGAAGTGTTGCTTAAGTGTGTTATCTGGCTCTCTGTAATACTCGATTGGTGCCAGTACGCTAAACCATAAAACCAATCGCTGTATGGACAGTTTTGCAATAGTATAGAGTGTGATAAATGCGTGTGTTTAGTTAAACTACCTGCTTATTGTGCTTCCAGAGTGTCTGAAGCCTCTGCTGCCCTCTGCTGTCCAGAGCCAGCTGCACATGCTCATTCCCTGCAGGAAGTTTGAGCTCAGCTACGACCTCAACTGTGCCACCCTTTGCTCAGACTTCCAGGAGAACATCGAGTTCCAGTTCTCTTTAGGCTGGACCACGCTGGTCCACCGTTTCCTAGGTCCCGTCAACGCCAAACGTGCCTTGATGCTGGTGGATCAGAACCTACCGGTACATTAGAAAACTGCGTTTCCACCGGGATACATGGAGATGCTGGTGTGAACTAGGCTTCGCCATGATAGACGGTGCGGACGGTGATACTGTTGTTAAGCCGCAACACCGGTTACTTGCCCACCGCGGCACCGACCCCCACCATCGTTTAGATTTTTTTTAATAGTAATAAAAATCATTTAGTTCAGTAAAAGTACAGACACTACAATTAAAAACTGAACGAGGCTGCTCAATGCAGCGTGCCGAACAACAGTCGCATCACAGATCAGATTTAATTTCTCCAATGAGGAGAGTGAGTCGAGCTGACTGACAAGAAGAGTGAGGTGAGACAGACAAGAAGAGTGGGGTGAGACAGACAAGAAGAGTGGGGTGAGACAGACAAGAAGAGTGAGGTGAGACAGACAGACAAGAAGAGTGAGGTGAGGTGAGGTGAGACAGACAAGACAAGAAGAGCGAGGCGAGACAGACAAGAAGAGCGAGGTGAGACAGACAAGACAAGAAGAGCGAGGCGAGACAGACAAGAAAGAAGAGTGAGGCGAGACAGACAAGACAAAAAGAGCGGGGCCAAGCAGACAAGACAAGGTGAGCGGAGCGGGACAGACAAGAAAAGACGAGCCAGGCGGGGATTGAGGCGAGACAGACAGACCAGACAAGAAGAGTGAGGCGAGACAGACAGACCAGACAAGAAGAGTGAGGCGAGACAGACAGACCAGACAAGAAGAGCGAGGCGAGACAGACCAGACAAGAAGAGCGAGGCGAGACAGACCAGACAAGAATAGCGAGGCGAGACAGACAAGACAAGAAGAGTGAGGCGAGACAGACAAGACAAGAAGAGCGAGGCGAGACAGACAAGACGAACGCGGATTATTTAGTTTCAAAACGAGATGCAAAAGCGCCTGTTTGCCAATATTTTGGATTTTGAAAAGCCTGTTGAGTTTTGCTGTTTACCTGAGGTGATTTTGGAAGTTTTTTTTTTAAACATTCGTTTCGTATTTAATTGGTTCCACAGTGTTTGCTGATTTTTACTTTATTTAAACTTTGTGTATGCCGTGCCTTCCAAGCTTTCTTACTCGTTTTGCTAATAAACATTCTACGTTTCTTATTTATTTGCTTATATATTATACGTTTACTTATTTCCAGTTTTGTATAGGCTACCTATTTAAACTTTATGTAAGTTATTTGTTATTTTATATTAGGCATAGCCTGCCCTATAGCATGGTGTATTTTAATTTGTTTTGTTAATAAAAGTTCTATGTTTTATATATATGCTAAAGTGAGTTTGATGTTGTATTTTGTTGTTGCATTCAAGCAATTGACGCAGAATTGCTGCTAATTCGAAAGTGAAAGTAAAATGCTCACGGTGCTTTTAAGCTATTTAATAGCATAGGAAAGCAAGGAAAAGAGGGGAAATTTAAACGAACAATTGCGCCAAATTGCTGCTATTTGAAAGTGAAAGTAAAATGCGCACGCATTTTGCAAGCTATTTAAAAGCGAGGAAAAGAGGGAACACACCCGCGATGATACCGGTATTACCAGTGTTGTCACACATCGATTAACCGGTGGGAAACTTTCCTCACCGTCACAACCCTAGTGTGAACTTGACATATTTTGGGATTGAATTTTATTGTGTTTATCATTGTTTTGTACTCAGCTGACGGCACCGACCACCCCTTCGGCTCCAGCGGTGGTTCAGTCTCAGATCCCCAGAGCTCAAGGTCAGAATCAGCAATCTCTGGCACAGGAAGAACTCATGATGTCTATGGTGAACAACCTGGCCTCGGTCACCTCTCGCACGTCTATGAGTGTGATCATCGTTGGAGGAGTGGTGAGAATTATCGCCGTTTCTCCTCATTGATGCTTTAGATTCCCCTTTATTTTCTATAATGTGACCCTGGAGCACAAAACCAGTCATACGCGTCAATTTTTGGAAATTGAGATTTATACATCATATGTAAGCATACTATACATCATCCTACCCGATATTTTAAATACATTTTTAGGACAAGACATATATATATATATTTTTAATTGCTTCATTTACACAGGACAAAACCATTGTTTCTGAGATTTGTTCTTCTAAATCACACACATGCAAATATTGTCATTGTGGGGACATTTAGTTGGGCCCCATGAGAAAACAGCTTTGTTTTTTTGGGGGAAATGTAAACATGCAAAGTTTTGTGTGAGCGGTAGGGTTAGGGGAATGAAAATACAGTTAGTACAGTAAAATTATGTCTAATGGAAAGTCCCCATATAATATGGAAACCCAACAACAATCATTTTTGATAGATGCTTGTACAGTTTTGAAAATGTGTGTACAGTGTTTGTAAACATTATTGTATGAAGTAGTAGATAAAGGTATATGAAACAGACAAAAATTGGCATTCATATGCAGTACATTAATAGTAAAATGTAAGTGTATGCTAAGGCATAAATAATATTTACTTTAAAAATGTAATTATATTTTCAAGTCAAAGTTGCTTTATTTTCACTTCTCTCGTTCGTTTACTTTTAAGTGAAAACGCCTATGAAAAACCAATTACAATTGATGAAATGTTTTTAGTTGAAAACGGCATGTAATATAAGTTCCCTAGATTATATCTAGCCCAAAAATCCATATTTAAATATAACGACAAGTTTAAAAGACAATCAAACCTAACACATCTTAGGATATGGTTAAAAGTCTTTTTATTGGTTACAATATCAGTGTATGGCAGCATTAACACCATGTTACTTTACAAATACCAAAAAAAAAAGTTTATTAAAAATGATTCTTTGAAAATATGGGCACTGTGAAAGTACACAAGGCAAAACACTCCTGGTTTTATTGGCTCAAAAGAAAAAGAAAAACAAAAAAGGAATATGAAGCATACAAATCGAGCCAAAAGTATATTATGAACACTTAAAACACTGGGGTTCTAACATGTACTGTAATACTACAATGCTCGTAGAGAGAGAGAGAGAGAGAGAGAGAGAGGGAGAGGGAGGGAGAGATCGATACAGCTTATCATAATGCAAAGCAAAAAAATACAAAATTACAATAAAAATACAAACAAAATTTAAATGACGACAAAACAAAACACATAAATAAATAATAAAATATGCAAGCAAATGCAAATAACTTAAAACAAACAATAATCAAAAAAGAAAAAACTGAAATAAATACAGTAAAAATAACATTTACAAAAATTATAAAATAAAAGATAAAATAATCAAATAAAAATTACAAATAAGCAAAAAATAAAATAAACTTGCAAAAGAAATATAAAAAAAAATGATCAAAAATAAAATAAGTAATTAAATGAATATAAATAAAAATATGCAAGCAAATGCGAATAAATTAATAAAACAAACAATTGAAAAAAAACTGAAATACAGTAAAAATTACATTTACAAAATTATAAAATAAAATGATAATTGAATAAAAATTACAAATAAGCAAACAAATACAAATTTATAAAAAAATATATATAAAAAATTAAAATAACAATGCAATTAAATAAATAATATAAATAAAAATATGCAAACAAATTAATTAAAAATAGATCAACAAAATAAACAATAATACAAATAAATACAAAAAAATAAATAATAAAAAAGTAATAAGAATCAAATTATAAATAAAATACTTAAAAGCAGACAATATAAAATAAATAACAATAAATAATAATAAAAGCAAACAATAAAATAAATGAAGAATAAAAAGAAATGATAAAATATGCAAACCCACCCCCTATAAAACACATACTCTTATATTTACAGCACACTGAAGGGCAGTGAAAAAATGTTTTGCCCTTACCTGCACGTTCGCCTTTCAAAGTGTCCCAGACGTTGCAGTTGAAGTCGTCGTATCCGGCCAGCAGGAGGCGTCCACTCTTGGAGAAGGCCACGGAGGTGATGCCGCAGATGATGTTGTCGTGAGAATACATCATGAGCTCCTGATCCGCGCGCAGGTCAAACAGCCTGCAGGTGGCGTCGTCTGAACCCGTGGTGAAGGCATTTCCATTCGGAAAGAACTGCGAGAGTAAACAACCGAACTCAATACAACCGTCCATGTAGAGGAGCTTCTGCACCACCCGATCTAAACAAATAGCAAGCATGATTTTAAACATCTTACGCAGACGGCATTTATATCCGAGACGTGGCCAGTGAAGGACTGCCTGCACATCCCGTCTCTGATGTCCCACAGTTTAGCAGAAGCATCGCAGGCTCCCGACACGAAAGTCTTTAAATCGGGACTGACCGACAGACTCATGACATCCCCCGTGTGTCCGGTGAAACTGGTGGTCTGCTGGCCCGTCTCAATGTCCCACAATGCACTGCAACAAAAGAGACACAGGAGCAAAGTTGAACACAGGTTCCATTTGGTTTCAATCAAAACCAAACGCTTTTAATTCAAAGACAACCTGAAATAACAACTATGATGCATTTAATATTGCAATAAATCATTGTAGCTCAAACATTAAGGTCATGGGTTCGACTCCCCGGGAATGCATGAGCTAATAAAATATATACCTTCAATGCAATGCAAGACACTTAGGATAAAAATAAATAAATAAATAGAAAATAAATAAATGATCAAATATACAATCCAAAAAAATAAAACTAGTTTTTAAAAATTAGCTCAATTAAATCAAATTAATGCAAAACGCTCTGAATACAACGTACAACAAACGTGAATTTCAAAAAGGAAAAATTAAGCTAAAATATGCACATGCCAAATAAAGTTAACAACGCATATACCATTTATCCCTTGACATACTAAGACTAGACCATTATAATTAGTTTAATTATTATTATTATTATCGTATGTAACATTGACTCACCATGTGGTGTCACCAGAGCTGGTGATGATCTGATTGTCATCAATAAAACGACAGCAAGACAGATAGCCTACAGAATCATTCATAAATTCATTAATTATGCATTTCATTGATTAATGATGTATTGTATGAAATGCCACACAGAAAGAATCGCTTTAGAGCAGGGCTTCCCAAACTGAGGTCTGCGAGTTAGCTACGGTAATAACATTTAGTTAAATAAATCATAAAAATACGTAATTATATTTACATATAAAATATAGAATTATATGATTATAATTAGCAGTCAAAAGTTTGGAATCATTAAAAATCTAAATGTTTTTGAAAGAAGTCTCTTCTTCTCATCAAGGCTGCATTTATTTGATCAAAAATACAGTTAAAACAGCAAAAGTGAGAAATATTATTACAAGTTAAAATGGCTATTTTCTATTTAAATATATTTTGCAATGTAATTTATTCCTGTGATGCAAAGCGGAATTTTCATAGATAAATAATTATTCCACACTTGCCTGATAGTGGATATATTATTATTATGTAACATCAATAATTATATTGCAAAAAAAATACAACACTTTAAATATTTTATTTGTTTATCTAAATAATCCGACATCAGAGAACCATCGAGTGTGTTGTTATATTGTTGAAAAGTTAACTTGTAATCTCTGTAAATATTTTAGGTCAAAGTGGTTCGGCTGATGAAGTTTGGGAATCCCTGCTTTATGACTGAGGAGATAAATAAATGTGACTCTACCTGTGTGTCCAGCCAGTTCTCGGTTGACCCTGACGTTGCCCTCGCGGGTTTTAAGGCTGTAGGTGGAGCAGATGTTGTCTAGGCCTCCGCAGGCCACGTAGTTCCCCGACGGGGCATAGGCACAGGTCATGACCCAGGAGGAGCGCAGGGGAATAGCGTGCATCTGCCGGACAGAGTTAAAAACATACAACATCCTTCAGTAATGTAACAAGCTAAAGTGAAAGATAAAAAGAAAGCAAGACTGGGCGACACTGTAAAAAGTGGTAACCAGCAACTGTCATCAGATGGATGCTCTGCAGTGAATGGGTGCCGTCAGAATGAGAGTCCAAACAGCTGATAAAAACATCACAATAATCCACAGCACTCCAGTCCATCAGTTAACATCTTTAGAAGACAAAAGCTGAAACACATCCAGCGTTAAGACGTTATTATGGACTCGTATTTTAGTTAAAAACGTCTTAACGCTGGATTAGTTTCAGCTTTTGTCTTCTCCAGATGTTAACTGATGGACTGGAGTGCTGTGGATTACTTGTGATGTTTTTATCAGACTCTCATTCTGACGGCACCCATTCACTGCAGAGCATCCATTGCTGAGACACTGATGCAATGCTACATTTCTCCAAATCTGATGAAGAAACAAACTCGGATGCTCTGAGAGTGAGCACATTTTCAATAAATTTGAACCATTCTTGGACGAAGGTGAACTATTCCCTTAAAGAGCGATTTTTATCTGATTCAACCCATGAAATTATCTTCGTCTGTATTTTAGGTTGAGTCGGTGATGCTAAATAACATTTTTAATTTGAATCATTTGCGCATGGCTCTAGTATCTCATTACCTTGTTGGTCGTATAACCATCCCATATGATCAGTTTGCCATCTTGCGAGGCACTGACAAGTAACCTAAAAAAAAAGAAAGGCACAGAAATGATAAAAATCCACACTCGCAGTGTATCCATTTTTCAATCAACGAAACGTAATTAATTCAGGACACAGATGGGATTTGAGAAACATGGTGGGAAAACGGAAAACGAACACCAGGGTCCCAAGCGTTATTTCATGAAATATTAATCACACAGTTGAAACTAGACCAACTCAGAGTGTTTAACGCAGCGTTCTTTTGTACATAAAACCAATCGTGATGATTAGGGACTCTCCGATCGAACACACACCTGGAGTCGCTGCCCCAGTGCATGGCGTAGATTTTGGCAAGATGACCTCTGAGCGTGCGTCTCGTTCTCATCTGTATCCGCCCCACTGAGTCCAGGCTCGCTGTCATCTGCCATATGAGCCCAAAACAGCAAGAGATGAAACGCCACACAACATTATCAGCTTCCATTAGAGAGCTTTTCCAGTCCAGTGGTACAGTAAGCAAGCTCAGCATCATCTTCTACAGCATTTCATGTGCATTTAGCTCATTTACAGAATATTTAGTCTGTAGATGAACTGGTTGATATATATATGAATAACATCTTTAAAAAATACTTCTGATTGGCAAAATAGGTCTAATATGAATTAATTTGATGATGCTAAGTTACTTTATCACATACAGTTTTTGCACAAAATAAGAAAATGTGGCCCTGGAGCACAAAACCAGTCATAAGGTTAAATTGTTTGAAATTGAGATTTATACATCATCTGAAAGCTGAATAAATGAGCTTTCCATTGATGTATGGTTTGTTATTATTATTATAAAAATCTAAATATTGAGAAAATCATCTTTAAAGCTGTTCAAATGAAGTTCTTAGCAATGCATATTACTAATCAAACATTAAGTTTTGATATATTTACGGTAGGACATTTACTAAATATCTTCATGGAACATGATCTTTACTTAATATCCTAATGATTTTAAGCATAAAAGAGAAATGTATAATTGTGACCCATACAATGTATTGTTGGCTATTGCTACAAATATCCCCCAGCGACTTAACACTGCTTTTGTGCTGCAGGGTCACATATACACATATATATATATATATAATAACATACATATAAAGCTATGAAAAAAAATTAAGAGACCTCTTGAAAATTCTCAGTTTCTCTGGATTTACCAGTTTGAGTAAAATGTTAATATTTGTTTTATTCTATAAAGGTCTGATAACATTTCCAAATTTTAAATAAAATAGTAATTTATAGCTCTTTTTTTTTTTTTGCATAAAATGACAATTGGTCAAAATAACAAATGTTTTCATTTGTTGTGACTGAAAATCAGGGTGGTTCCACCAAATATTGATTTCTTAACTCTTCTGAACTTAAAACATTGGTATTGTTTTGTTTAAAAATGAATATAAACATGTTTGAAAACATGGCATTTTTTTTTGTTATTTTGACCAATTGTCATTTCATGGAAAGAAAAATGATCTAAATTATATTTTTATAAAAAATTTGGAAGAAATGTCATCAGTAGTTTACAGAATAAAACAAAAAATATATATGTTTTACATAAACAACTATAAATCAAATCTAGAGAAACTTTGTTTTTTTCCATAGCTGTATAAATGTAATTATCAGCTTTAATGCACGTTATCAAAATAATAAAAACAGTCAAATGTCACAAGTTTTGTTTTCAAGACAAAACAAATTCCAAATGTGTCGTTTAACGAGTGGAAAAATGTTCTCCATTTAATGTCAAAGAACTAGGCTGATAATTGAACAAATGGTTGTAATCTGGCTCAGAGGAAGACAGGAATCATGTCTTTGTGCGGCTTTTCTGCTGATTAATGGATTATACAAGACTTCTTCACCTTACAAATGATTGTTAAAAGCAAAAATGCATCATATTTAGTGAAAAAGTGTGACGAGAATGAGCACTATTTTTGGTATCAGCACCCCAAAATTAGTAAGAAACGACTATTGGATTTCATGCAACAAATATGATGCAGGATGGTGCAATCATTAATGATTTGTGTTTCGTACCTGCGAAAGTGTGGAGTCACTGCAGGCTTTTCTAGCATCCTGAAAAACAGCAACAAATGCATGCATTCATGACAAAACTCGCCAATCTAAATAAACAGCACAGGAAGTGTACAGCTCACACGGACGTCCTCTCAAATGAATGTTTCCTTTTGTTGCATGTTGGTCCAAACACAAGCAAGCGCTGATGAACAATCACACTTACCCGGATCTGGTTGCGAAGCTGTTCCGCTTCCTGTCGCAACTGCTCCAACTCACTCATTGTTCCTGTTTGACCGGCACCCGAGACGAGAAAGTGCTGGACCTGCAATCATACAATTACATCATTCATAACTGCATGAGCTCACCCGTCAATCAAACACTGCACTAGTGATGCATGCAATCATGAAATCCCTTAAAATGCAATTACAAATGGACCAGCTTCCTTTGACCAAATCCATTCCAGCAACTTTAATTGCATGCACAGACTGATCTGAGAGCAGTGGGAAATGACGCTGAGCTCAAAGGGTCTTCAAAACACCACCGACTGCTGCCAAATGCCACCCATATGTTCACTGACCTTTCTGTCAAATCTCCGCGTCTTTGATTCCATACGAAAGTGTTAATAGAGTTATAAAATCTACTACAAGGCAAGCTCAAACAGCGTCTGAGAGTTTACAGTAACCAGGGTCTAGTGCCCTGATGGTTTTAGTTACTAGTCCAGCGTCTCTCATACTACACTCTAAAAAATGCTGGGTTAAATACAACCCAGTGCTGGGTAAAATAGGGACAAACCCAGCCCAATTGCTGGGTTTGTCCCTATTTTACCCAGCACTTGGTTGTATTTAACCCAGCATTTTTTAGAGTGTAAGAGTGTCATTTGACAGACCCTAAACTGGAGTTAGTTAGCTATTTGTGATTATAACCAATAATCTTTTGATGATCTTTTACTCTGTGTCCATCGGGTTAGAAACAAAAGTAAAAATGAAGCATCTTCAATTGAATGTCCAATAAAAAACGTGCCATGGATACAGTAAGCAAGTTGAGCATCATCTTCTACAGTATTTCAATGTGCATTTAGCACATTTACAGAATATTTACTCAAAAGTCACTAAAAAATGTTTTGACACTACCAGTCAAAGGTTTAGATTAATTACGATTTTTTAAAATGTTTTTGAAAGAAGTCTCTCCTGCTCATCACAGCTGCATTTATTTGATCAAAAATACAATAAAAATGGTTAAATATTATTACAAATTAAATGAACCGTTTTCTATGTGAAAATATTATAAAATGTAATTTATTTCTGTGATCAAAGCTGTATTTTCAGCATCATTACTCCAGTCTTCAGTGTCACGTGATCCTTCAAAAAAAAAAAAAGGCATTACCACATGGTTATTAAAAAAATATGTAATTTTTTCCATTGAATTTTCAATAAAAATACCTAGATCATGAAATATAGTGTTATGTTATAAAATTACTCATACCATGATGCAAGTTATTGGTCATACTGCCCAAGCATTACCGGACAGCAACATCATATTTTTAATACCAAAACTTCAGCAATGGGGAAACATTTAACAATACACCTCCTTATGTCTCGGTTTTGACCTTTATGTAATGCTGAGAGATTAGAGAGTGAAAATATTTCCAGAAAGTGTTACTCATGTAAGTCTAGCATCAGAGTTGATGAAAAGCTAATAATTAAGTACAAAAATGCAAAATGAAAAATAATCAATCAAAATAAAACGCTTCCTAAAAATATATATATATTTTAATGTTTACCTGCATCAGACAACCCTTAACACGTGGGTGTTTTGTTAAATTATTGAAATATTAACTTAAAATTTCAGGGAAGATGTCAATTAATATTTTAGTTTAAAAAAAAATTGTGAATCCTGTATTAGGCCAATCTATTTTAGTGCCTGTTGAACGTGTAGCTCAAATGGATTTTTGTGCAAAAATAAAATACTAAAATCTGCTCTGAAAACATGTCAGAAATTTTCACATAAACAGCCATTTCAAGACAAGTCAGAGAAATTCAACTTAAGTATCTGAGATACATGAATGAGAACCTGTGCGCTTTTATTTTAGTTAGAAAACTAAAAAAATACAACTGAAAAGCAATTCCAGGAAGCCTCTTATTTCCCTGCTGGGAAGAGAAACTCAACGATATTATGGCTCGTTTCCACTGAACGGTACGGTACGGTACAGTACAGCACGATTCGGTACGGGTAACCCTGATCAGGCTTGCGTGTCCACTGCCAATAGTACCCTTACTTGGTAGAAATGGTGTATGCAAAAAGTAGCGATCGACGATAAACCACAACTCTGCCTCTTTTTGTTAAATGTCAGTTTTAATGAACAATAACAGCCAATAGCTATTATAAAAGTATAACTATAAGAGGCTTATATAAAAGGAAATAAAGACAAAAGCAAACAATTCAGTCAAACGTATGCTACAAAGTCAGCGCTGTACTACGGTTAAGTTCAAAATAAATATATAAAGTTAAACATAACTTTGTGCTCAGCCAAAACGATATGACCAGGAATAAATAATAGATTCATGAGACCACGAATGCTTGTTAAATATAGCCTACACAAAATGAATTATCTCGTGTTTAATCACTGCAGAGACATCAGGGCCAGCGGCAAATGTCAGAAGGACTAGCCGAGCGAAGACTGCTCTCGGCGGACACATGAGCACCGAGCGCCCGCTGATCGCCTGGAGCTCCGAAATCGGCATAAAGTCAGCGCTGTACTACGGTTAAGTTCAAAATAAATATATAAAGTTAAACATAACTTTGTGCTCAGCCAAAACGATATGACCAGGAATAAATAATAGATTCATGAGACCACGAATGCTTGTTAAATATAGCCTACCCAAAATGAATTATCTTGTGTTTAATCACTGCAGAGACATCAGGGCCAGCGGCAAATGTCAGAAGGACTAGCCGAGCGAAGACTGCTCTCGGCGGACACATGAGCACCGAGCGCCCGCTGATCGCCTGGAGCTCCGAAATCGGCATAGCAAATTTTCAAATGGGCGCTATCTTTATAAATAAACCACAGATTTGAGTTTTAAACAATTACATTCTCGCCTGAAAAACTCTTAAAACTACATTTCATGACACAATAACAGTAATATTTAGAAAATTACGTGGGTTTTTGGGCAATGACGTTTCACAAGTCCACAAGAACATACAAGAACGCATATTGAGAAACGGCTATTGTCCGTGTGAAAATATACTATTATATAAAATACATGGTTATATTTTTTTGTGTGTTTGCGCACTCTGATGTAAATAAGCCCAACACTCATAGACAGCTAAGCAGAACGAGTGAAGGACGCGTTATCCCCTTGTATCACGCAAAAGTGACGATTCTAGTCAACCAATCAACGTTCTGCGGTGAGTTTAGCTCCGCCCTTTTGGTACCCTTTGCTGTGCTAGGTACCCCAACGGAAGGGTACCAAAAAAGTGGTACGGTACGGTTCGCTATTTTGGTACACCGCAAAAAAAAAATTCCGTAAAATTTACGGTAAAAAAAATGGCAGCTGTGGTTGCCGGAATTTTACCATAAAAGATACGGTAGCAACGTTTTAGGTTTTAACTTAAATTTAGTTAAATATGGTAACTTCATTAACTGATATAATGTTAATATACCAACCTATTGAAGTACTGAAATCTGTTTTGTAGCTTTGTAATACACTGATAACCACCAAATGCAGGAGGTGATGAGAAAGTCACACGATGAACCAAAGCCCATCACAAGCAGCTTTTAAATAATATCATATATAGAAGGTGCACAGCGTCATTCACACAAACACCAAACACCATCACGGTAACACACATGAAACTGAAATAATGCAATAAACATGCATTTAACAACATTAGGTGTAACACACAACCCTAATATACAAAACTGATAAGAAAAAACTAAGAAGAAACGGTTATTTCAACAAAAAAAAACATCAAATTTGAAATGTAACACAGGGAATTCTGGGAGTGTCTATTTACGGATATTCACTGTAAATTATACGGTCTTTTTCACTTCCAAAAACGGTATACTACTGTCAAATTAATGTCCAATACACATAATGTCCAATACAGTTTTTCACCGTATATAGTAGGGGAATTTACCGTTAACCATTCAACAGGTTTTTACTGTAGCATTTTTACAGTCTTTTACCGTTAAATTCAAGGTCATTTTTTACAGTGTACCATTCACAACTTCTGACAGTGGAAATGGAAATAATTGCGAACCGTACTGTACTGTACCGAAAAGTACCGCTCGGTGGAAACGAGCCATTACACACAATCACAAAATGACAATCTAACACCTGTATGCAATGCATGTATATATATATATATCCAGAGCTGGGTAGCAACTAATTACATGTAATCTGGATTACATAATCAGATTCCAAAAATTAAGTGCTTGTAATTAGACTAAATTACGTTTTTAAAATACTCGTAATCAAACTAGTTACTTTTTTATTGATTACATGATGACATATTCACACTATAGCAATAAATTATTCAGAATTGATTGATTCTCCCTAATTCCTCTTTTAAATGTTCCTTTTTAAAATATACACTCAGAAAGTCTTCCAGTTTTGTGGACATTCACACACACATCAGTCACTTTGACCACTGAAGTGTTTCAACGTTGCATCATTACTACTGATGAACATTAATATTTATCTGAATTATCACTCGGTAGGTTATTTAACCATCTATTTCAATGCCTTTGGAAGGCCTTTGTCTTTCAAACACATTAAAATGCACAATTTCACATTATTTCTTATTTAAATGTAACTAGGGATGTAACGATTACCGGTTTCACGATAAATCACGATAAAATGCCCTGACGGTTATTATTATCGTTTAAAATTTTATTATCATCAAAACCGTGTTTGATTATCGTGCTTTTGAAAACTCACGGTAAATCCTGTCCAGCCAGCATCAGTCTGACGCAGAAGCAGCATGCAGTGGTGTTGTTGTTTTTTGCACTAGATGAAACAGCGGAAAGCAGTGACAGCGCTCGGGAGATTTTTCAGCCATCTAAGAGAACCAAATCGGTGGTCTGGTCGTAGTTTGGCTTTTACAAGAGTCTTGAAGGCATTTTAATCGAGGACGGTCACCCTGTCTGCAGATCTTGCAAGAAGACAGTCGCTGCAAAAGCGGGAAACGTGTCTAATTTGCTCCGTCATCTTCGTGACCAGCACCCACTGTTATATAGCGAATGCAAGGTAACGTTTACCTCAATACCAAAACTAACTGGGCAAATAATTGGACAAAAAAAGAGTTGAAATATTTCGTTATCTCACTTGTTTAACGCAAAGCTACCGCGAAGAAAAGT